GGGGGGGGGGGGGGGACTTTGGGCGCGATTTTGTCGGGCTGCACCTTGGTTCACCATGCAGGATGAGGATTTTTTTTGTCCATAGTTTTTTCTCCTTTCTTCTTTGCATACTGTCAATTGATTCATGACCTGTCATCGCGTGAGTGGTGTGTTTCCATTTCATTGACCCACCAGTATTGCGAATAAGGGGTTACTGTATAGTAAAAGGCCAAGTTATGCTGGAGACAACCCCAACTTGCCCTCACTGACGAGTGTCACGCAATGTTATTATGGCGCTGTCTCTCAATATCGTCTATTGTTGTATATACCAAGGCACCGGGAGTATGGGGTAGATGGAGATTCCGTATGAACTGCCGCGATTTTCGATGCCTGTCGTTTTCAATTTTTTCAGTTGCCTTGAGTCTATTGCAACGATTGTGATGTGAGTTGTCTTCTTCGAATTCCCGTACACCCCATACTGGAGAGAAAGAGGAGTGTAGAGGGGTAGNGGGGGGGGGGGGGGGGGGGGGGGGGGGGGGGGGGGGGGGGGGGGGGGCACGTGACATCACACAGCGCGTTCTAGCGATAAATGTGTGTTATTTACAATTGTTGCACTCTGTAGGCGTGGCCTTTTTCGGGATGAAGAGGCGGAGTTTTTTTTTGGGGGGGGGGCGTACCCCAAAATATTCCATTCCTAAGGGGGAGACGCATGTCATGCGTTGGTCCCGAAGGCTCGTGCGCTTCTATCTGGTTCCTGTATTTACTGTGTCGACGTTATTGAGTTCCACTGTTGTTTGTCAAGTCTCCGCTTGTGTTAAGGCAACGGTTGTTTATTGTTGCCTGCTGCATTTTTTATTCGCATGGCGTTTGGAGCGTCGTTGTTTCGCCTTCTTCGTGTAGGCAATGCTCGCGAGATTTCGAACACATATTTGTTCTGTTTCTGGTCTCATACATGCACGCTTACATGGATCGCTGAATACTTCGTCCAAGACGAAATGGAGAGAGCAATTTTTATTGTGTTAGGCGTGTGAGGGCTGCTGTGCCCCATCTTATTTTTTCGCACTCCCTGTCGGTGCTTCGTAGGGTATACGTCGCCAACTGTTGTATCCCGTCGTCCACTGGAGCAACGACGGGTAGTACACTTTTCGTGGATAGTTGTTTCCTTTTGTTTCGTGTTTCTCGTGTTGTTATACAACGGCGGTCGACTACAACTGACTGCTTTCCATGTTTTTTAGGGGAGGGCGCGGCCTGGTGCTGTGCAGCAAGAGACTTCTGGAAGAAGCGGGAGGGAAATCTATCTCCCACATGTTCAGCAGATTTTCGTTCGAAAGGTCTCTTATGCCGTTCTGATCACGTTTCTGCCAGAGAGAAGGGGTGGTATGATACGCCTTGTTCGCTTTCTGCCAGGCCGCGCCGCGGCGCTTACGCGGACGCGTGCTTTTGCTTCTTCTGCGTCGATGCGCGCCCGGGGTTTTCTTTAGCGGTGGAGAGGTTGCGGGGCGTTAGGCCGTAACCTACAGGAGGGTGCACGCGTGTGGCGCTCTGCGTGGCTTCATGTCGTTACAGGAGGGTGTTGCACTGTGGTTCGACATGTTCGTGGACACGTCCATGCTGAGGCTCCAGGCTCGTTGGAGTTTTCTTCCTGCAGGCCATGTTGTTGTCGGGTGACCACGCACCTGAGATTCCTTGCGGGCTCTCGGACAGTATGGAGGTGTGATCAGAC